TCTTCGATCGACGCAGGAAATATGACGCGCGGAGAGCATGATACTTCGACTGGGTTCTTTTTCCGACTGCTCACTATTTTGTTTTGTGTTTGGCTGATCATGTTCTGTCCCTGCTTCGTTCTATTACATCCAGTATTTCCCCGCTGCAGCACAACTACAATATCAATGAATCACAACTCCTTCTGCGACCTCAGGATCAGTGAGAACTCGGAACGAGCTGACACAAACTGTAACAACTTGAACAAGTCAGCGAGTAAGACTGACCCACGCTTCCGCCATGGACCAGCCGCCAAAGAGACAAATGCAGCTGCACTCCGTCGCTGCCACGGAGGAAAGATGGTCTTGGAGGAAACTTCGTTGTGGAACATACCACCTCGCTCTTTTCAAGCCGCCCGACTACCATAATTCCGAATATGCTCACTCGCTGCGTCTTGCAATGCCCGTTCCCACGCAACTTATCGACATCGATGACATTGAAATCAACTCCACTGTGCAAGCGCCGCCATCGAATGAGGCCACTGGAACTCTTCCACCACCGACCTCTGCAGACAAGCGCAAGAAGCAGAAGAAGCGTAGACTGCCAGTGGCGGCCTCTGACTTGGACAAGTCCCGCCATAGTCGGCCAGGTTCTCCTCCGTCGTCCAATCCGCTGATCGTTGCGACAGTCCCACCTACTACTGCAATCGTCAACCCGCCAGTGGTTAATGTTACCCCCATCTCCCGTTCCTCTTCTGCACCCAGAACCCATCGAAACACTCTTGTCTGAACCCCCAACCTCGAGGTCATTCTTCCCTTTGATTTTGACTCAATACTAGCCTGCTCCCCAATCTCTTGCCATACAGGCACCGGCGCCGCTTCCAAGTACACCACCCATGGTATTCTACTCCTACATTTACTAGGATCTCACTTCTCGATTTAGGTGCATAATCACTGTAGAAACTTGTGCTCCCCTCGGTGATTTTTACTCACTTCAATACCACACTCGAACGCTTTGGACCGCCTGTTGTACCAACATCAAGAAACGAGCTTATTACTGCAAAGACGGAACCCACTTAACTTGAATCGTGTGAGACTACCACAACTTGTGGCTAGCTACTGACATCCTTCACAAGTGACGACAAATCGAGTCAAGAGTCCTACATTCGCGCGAACACATCACAGAGTGCTAGGTCAGTTTTTTTACACTTCTTGGCAGTGCTCGACACATTTTAGAAACTTTTCTCTCGTATTTCTCGGAAAAGAAGATTTCAAAGGTGTCGAGAGCAACATTTGACTCGTACGACTTCCTCAACCTGTCAAGCGAGGTACCTTATCTTCTTGCAGCGACAATCTACTCATGGTAAATCTAGCGATGGTAAAAACGGAGGGTAGATGCGAAGGAGCAAAGAAGCAAGTTACATCGGCACCAATGGGACCAATCCCGACGTAATTGTTGGCTTCAAATTTTCCCTCTTACGAACGGTATGAGTTCTATTGCTCGAATACCCGTCGCTCAAACGTTTCCTCAGTGATTCAATGAACGTATTCTACCTTGAGCAATACGGATGGAGATGGATTCGAAGATGTGTTACGGTACCCGTGTTGCAAGGCAACACCTGCGCATTGCAAACCTGGTACATAGATGGGTATGCAGTGTGGTCATCTGGAGCAGGGAATGTGGAATGCATTCATCTCTCGATAGCGATTTACCTTGTTATGTAAACACCTCGTTCTACCTGTCTCACCCAACGATCGAGTAAACGGCAAATTGACGAGCAAGAACGAGTGACCTCGTTGTGACTCGTTCTCGCTCATATTGCGCCGGACGGGATTCTCTATTCTCACTGGGCCTCAGGCTGAAAATAATATCAACACTCGAAATGGCGAACGAATGTGACCATGTGACCATATGTGACCACATGTGACCATCATATTCTTCTGCACCCGTTCTTTTCCTCCCGTCTCATGGCATCGCTGCCGCTGCGCGCCGCAACTCACTGCTGCCAAGGCTCAGCATCTCCACTGGCAGATATAAGCCGCAATGCAAGTGTGACACTCCCAGGCGCATCTTCATGACCGACTCGGACGCCATCCAAACTACACCTGCTCTCCCGGTTCTGGGTCGTGAAGAACAGGCACATTTGGACGACATACTGCGACATCTTGGACACCTTTCACTGCCGCCCGCAGACTCTTCACAACCACAGTCACTCCAAGTACTCGGAAGGCGTAAGGGGCCACCTCGAAACGCGTAATCCTCATTCTTTGGCTTGATATATAGGCTGACCCATTTCAGTTTCCATAGGTCGGCCTTCGAGCAGCTGGTGGATGCTGCGAAATTCGTGCCTCAAGGGGCAGACGCTTTCTGGGACATGCGACGGATTTTGGAATATGGTTGCATGAATTCATTAGACCATGTTGCGGCTAAAGAGAGTTTCTCGACGTTGCCCTCAAGGTGTTCCTTTTTTCGCTCTACTCTCAGTGTCTTCCACTGAATATATCATAGTGAACGAGCATTACATCATGCTGCAGTTTTCGACAAGATGCTCTCGAGCTGTCGAATACAATTGTTGACCGTTCTCCAGTGGATCTACCTTGAATCTAAAACCAAGCCCGCGTTGTGGAAATCTCTCGGCGAGAAGGGACGTCATTTTCTTTTTTGGTTGTCTTGCGTTTCTCATAGCACAATAGTTAGCCAAAGCAGCCCGAGACGCTCGCACACAAGATACTAGTACTTTCAAAAACGGACTTCGCATTCTTCTTCCTGTTCCCGGTCAAGACCAATTCTATCCATCGATTGAACCTGGAATGAACAAATCTGAATGCGGACTAGCTCACCCTCAACTAAGGATGCTGCTGATGCCTTGGATAGATCGCTCGTCCTTCCCCCCAATCGTCTACGGAAAGCCATCTCAGTAAGCCTCAATTGTATCCGAAGCAACTTTCCTGACACTCGCGATCAGGCCTGCTCCATTGCTTTCGGAGAATGCTCAAGCGTAAGCAATCATCTCTCTTACCGGATTCAGTCGCTCATAATCAGCTTACTAGAATCATGACCAAGATTGTTTCGAAGACCTACCAACCCTCTTCGAAGCGCTTTCCTTCATTTTGTTATCCAGACGACGGATGGGTCCCCGACGCCTATCAGCGTAATCTTTTCAGAAATGTAGCCATCGTCCGAGTAAGTATGCTGTCCTCTTCCGTCGAGTATTTCTGCTGACAACTAAAGGGGATTCGGATGCTACTTGTTACCCGAGTAGACGCCAGTCATCAGCCCAACGACGAGCTTACCCCTGGCTGCCTAGCGACCATCCACAAAATTCATCGAATCACCGCCCATATTGTTGCCTATGTCGTCGTCCAAGTTCGTGTCTAGTTTTCTCTCGCAGATGGCCATTGTAAACGCGCACAGATCCGCATCGCAATAAGCGACGTTCCCCATTGGACGAATACCGAAGGACGCAAATACAAATTTCTTGACTTGTATCACAAGGTTCTCGCCGCTTTCGAAGACGACACCAACCCCGATCTTCATGACTGGGGCAAGGAAACGTTGGACTGGTTGACTGAGTAAGACACATATTCTCTTATTGATTTGCTCTAATCATCTTCAGACGAACATTTGGGTCTATTTCTGACGAGCAAGCCTCAGGCGGTGAAGACAGCGAATCTGAAGACGAGGCGCTATTGCAACGTCGTCACCGCGCTGCCCATAATGTTCCGCCCTCCCCTCACTGACCGCGCATGCATCATTTCGTCTTCGCTGTTTGCTCCTCGACTCCCACTCGTGGCATTCGTTGTCGTCTCAACTGGTCTCGTGTTTGCCCTACCTTATTACCTACCAAATATTGTCAACATACGTAGTGTCGTATCGTATCTTCCAAGCTGGAGCAATAATAGCTAGCAATCATTCTAGGCCTGAAACCACTTAAATAATAATTGGACTAAACACCGTCCAATAATTGACCCTTCTGCTTTGCTCCACTTGTAAGCCATGGTTGTGTTGGTATACCCTTGCAAATATAACTAATGCTTTGTCCATCCAATAAGCCTTGAGCAGTTTCTGATGCAGTTGTTTGGGTCTGAAAGGCCCTTGCCTTGCTGTCACAAACTCACAGGCACTTTGAGGGCGACAAGTGGCCATCAGTCTTGTCGCCACCAAATACCGATCTATTGGCTCGACAACCATTGGAGCTGGTTATGAACTCATTGTTGGGATTCAAAATTCTAGTGAGTTCGTATAAGCAACTGTCACACAAGCTAAGAGTGGCAAGTAGTTGTTTATATTGAAGTTGCTTGGAAATACAAAGAAGATTGTACACATTGTAAACTTTGGCAAGTCAAGCAACAGTTTGAAAGCTTGGAAAAACATCACAGCTAATGAAAGTATAGCAGCAGTCTTATTGGGGTTTGCCCATTTGAAGAGGCCCTTTCAACTTGTCTACAGACCAGCTATCAGACATGTGATGGGTAGTACCAGATTTTGGAGGTTATAGGAGGATTGTAAGTCATTTGTCAGAATATTACAACAATCGACCTAATTTGGTGATGACTTACCAACATGACAGGAGAACTTTCATTTATGGCAACTTAACTATCAGACATTATTAATGTTACACTATATTGCCCATAGCCCATAGCTACACAATAACAGGAATTTCCCCAATGTGAATAGACAGGTACCGGTAGAGAAAAGACTCAGAAGACACAACATACCTCAAACAGTCTTCTGCATTCACTTCTTTCTTTAAGTTTCTTAAAGTTGGAGATAACTCAGCGAATATACGACGACATGTAGGGAGGTACGTATGAGGACAAAAGTTGTATGCATATTGAACGCGGTGCAAGTCCATGATATCCGAGTCATATGAATGATAGATACCAATAAAGCGCAGCCGCGACCAACCAACGTCAAGCAGCGTACTGCGGCGCGGGTGCCAAGCGGCGAGGGCCACTGGCAGGCGAAAGGCGCTACTCATATTCGCGCGGATCGCAGGAAAACAAGCGCCACGGGCGATGGTTTAAGCGACGTGGATGCGAGGATGGTGCGCGTGGTGGCGGATCGGTATGTGAATCGGGAAGGCACGGATGATGTCGCTGAACCGGCCCTTCGGCTTATGCCGGGAGACGATGTCGACAGGCACGGGCTGCGGCTGTGGTGTCGGGGGCGACAACGAGCCGAGCGACGAACCCGGGGAGCTTGGGGCAAACTCGGGAATGGAAGCAGAGGAGGAATAGCGGATGCGGGTGCGGACGAAGGAGATTAGGGTGGGTTTGGACGGGAAAGCGACGGCCACAAGCGCGGAATGGTGCGCGAGGAGGTCGGATTCTTTGATAGACAGCTCCCAGTTGAGCACTTCGAGGAATTCACGCTCGATTCTCCCCACGTCGCGCTTGCCAAAGACGCCCGTGCACAACGCCCAGTGGACATTCTTCAGCGTCGAGTCATTTGTGTATTTGCTCGCCACGATGAGCGCGCCAAGGAACACACGCTCCAGCGCCCACTCTTCGAGGGCAATAGAGAGGTGTGGACGGGCGCGGGAGATGTACACGAGGGACGCGAAGACTGTAGCTGGCGTGACCTCAGCCCGTGTCAGAACGTTGTTGGCGAAGGTGGTAAAAGAGGAGAGGTAGCGCGACGGGTTTCGGCCCCTCGGCGTCGAGACACGGCCCATCGCGAAGTCGACCGTCTCGACGACGCATTCAATGAGGTACTCTAAAAGAGAAGTTGAGTCTCAAAGAAAGAGATAAGACAAGAGGCGACGCACCGACGACAGGCTTTGTCAGTCGTATATCGATGAGCTCCATCAGCGCAGGCGAGTGTGTGGCGGGGTCGGCCGCGTGTATAAGCGAAGAGCTGGAGCCGGAGGTGTGCATCTGCGGTAGGCGGGAGTGGTGGAAAGTAGGTCGGAGGGAGCGCCGCGGCCCGCAGCCCCCTTATATACCGCCATGACCGTGAAAGAAAAGGTGTGGCGCACCAAATGCGGATGACTCACACGAGCCGAGCCGGGTCAGCCAGCTCAGATCACCGATGGCCGCGGGTCCCGATTTGGGAGATTCGCTTGCGTATGTGTCAGCGTGGGACTGTCAGCCGGATGTGACGTCTGTGCGCCTGTGCGCCTATCTTACCCAACCCAACTGCGCTGCCTGCGCATCCCATCGTGATCGTCCTGGAGGTGGAGCGCGACCAACCAACTGGACGTCGCACTACAGGGGTGGACGCGAATGGTCCGCCGGTTGGTATGCTCGTGGTCAACTTCGGTGCTGAGGACTCAGAAGAGAAACATTGACAAGAACTCTCCAGTGGACCAGTCCGGATGCCCGCCACCATGACCTGGCTCGAATGATCGCCTGCCTGTATACCCTTGCTCAAAGCCGCTTGACAGCGCCGCCCAGACTGGACCGCGGCAGGTGCTCATCCTATCCATCGATCTTATCTGAAGGCCTGGCCCTATCTTCAATGTCAAGACTCAAGAGCGGCTGCTTGGTCCCATTCTTGGCCACATTCCACCTATATTAAATGCAATTAACGTTACGGCGCAATCCACCTGGTCGACGTGCCACACAATCACTCTGCTCAGCTGCCACCCCGACGAGAAATAGAATCCGCCAATATATCACCATCTTCTGTCTTCCTCGGTTCACCCTCTCACGCCAATAAACGCGCTGTCAACAGGCAGGGGCCACCGTGTCGCTTAACGCTCATGTTTGCTTCCGTACCACTTGATCAATATTGAGGAAGAACAGAAGCCTGCGATTCCAAGCCAATTTCAAGGCATGCGCACATGGCGCGCATTTGCCGGTGCCAGCGCGCCGTTCGCTCATGACCACTTATCGACCGACGTTTCGATGAGGTGCTACTCGCATCAGGAAAGCTCACAGCACAGTGTTCTCGAAATGAAGTTGTGAACACCTCGTGACCTTAAACCGCACATCGAGCTGCCCACCACCATAGCCGACGCCTGTGTTCGTTCCGAGTATCGATCAGACTATCCTGTAGTGATCTCCATCTCTTGACGGTGCTCAGTACTCGGACCTGCCCACCCGACGCGGAGATATCGCACGAGCCGATCAACACTATATTTGGGAAAGGTGATATGGACAACGTTCTAAAGTGTAATGAATGTCGTTTTCTGCAGAACCTGTTTTTGGATTCGTCAGACAACTTGAGAATGGCAAGCAATTGAAGCAGGGTTCCTCACATGCTCGATGCTCCCCTTTGCGACGACCCTGAACCCATCCGCCAACTCCTTCAAGTCCGTTGCCGCTTTCGCGGTGCACAGCGGGCACTTGGATGTGGCGGTGATGATTTCCGGCGTTATCTGCCCCAAAAACTCGGCGACGTGGTCGACATTCGTTTCGAAGGGCGTGTAGAGCGAGCTGACGCGCTGCATGACGCGGTCGATGTGTTCGCTGAACCAGGGGGCAGGGACTACCAATACTTCCGGAAAGTCCTCGGGGACGGCGAGAAGGGAGGCTCCACAACCAACCGCGTGTTTCCCGCGCGGGCCCATTGGGGACCACCAGACGAGCGTCAGATGCGCTCGCTCGGGCGTGAAAGCGTCGTCGTATATGACTAGGTTTTCCGCGAGACAGGGACGGACAAATAGTTCGACAATGCCCTTCAACACATCAGCAACCTCGCGGCGGAAAGCATGGAGCTGCCACAGCTGGTGGGCAGAAATAAGGGCATACTCCGGGACATGGGCCGCCGGACCGAGGATCGGGTGCTTCAGCGTTTCTGCCGCAGCGGCCTTCGCAATGTCCTCCAACTGTAAAATGTGGGCGATGGCGAAGACGCGATAGGGCTCGCGCGCGAGGAGCACAGGTTCCAGGAGAAGCTTGGGGATGTGAGTGATCGCCGCAGGAATATCGTATTTCTTCGCCGCGGCATAGGCCTCGGCGACGCCGTCGAACGAGTCGACGATGTAGGTAGCAGAAAACCGGGGATAAGACATAAGCAGAAGCACGCGGAGCGCAACAGCGGGCTCCGGGACCACGACGACAGTCAGGCCAGCACGCGTCGGGTTCGCGTCGTCGACAGTTGGCGCGGGAAAGGCAAACATGTTGGCGAAGCAGTTCGACGAGAATGCGAGCATCTGCTTGTGAGCGAAGAAGTCGACTCTGTCAGCGGAGCGCATAATGATGTCAGGCGGGTTGAGCTCGTCGGAGTCCCGCGCAAACGGGTGTGCGGCGTCGACGATCGGGACGGGGCCAGACATGGTCGTCAGGAGCAAGTTGTGAAACCGGAGGTCACAGATCGATCGGCATATACACGTATGTCACATCGAAGGTGATGGGATCAGGGCCTCGTGGCGATGGCAACTCAGGGTCGCGGACAATAGCGCGCTGTAGGATAACATGGCGTTCGCTCAATTATTGCCGCACACCTAGCTGCCGCTCACTAGCCTTTTCTTATAGTTCTGGCCAAATATGAATTGCTGACCCATTTGGATCAATTCAGCAGGCCTGTGACCCATGACCATTTGGCCGAAATGTTTAATTCGGCTGCAGGCCGAATTTCGCGTGACCTATTACCCGATTAGGAAATTTGGCGTGCCGCGGAAAATTTGAAAATCTTCATGAAGGGACACTTTGGGTTGACTTTGGGACCCAAAGATTTGGCTGTGACCTGTGACCTGCCAATGACCTGCCAAAATATTTTGGCCAAAAAATCTAATGTGACTGTGACCGGCCTAATTGGATGAAATGGGTCAGTATATGCATTCACATTATGGTCAAATTATGGTATTACACTTATCTCATATTCACCTATTAGAGAAGAAAATATATCTATTCATAGTTGCAGATGTGTTCAGGGCTTGATGGAAAGTATTATTTAAGTATATCCATGCTTCAACCCATAAGAGCAATATCATGCCAATAGAGATGACCAGGTCAACTAAGAAGCTTATGTGCAGGTATGGTTGTGATCATAAGAGGATCAATGTTGATGTTGACAGTAGCATGTGTGAACAAGGTGGTTGTAGTGGTATTGAGGTGGGTGAAGAGGGATTTAAGTAAGAGCCAGTGTAACATACAGAGCATTACTCTAGTAGCAAGACATACTCTCAATATCAATCCACTCCAAAATGAACACCACCCAAATCCAACACCAAAACCCAAAATGGTAGTGGTCACAGTCACAGTCACACTAGATATGTTTTTGAGATTTGATATGTTTTGGCTTGTGTTTGTTGCCTTTTCTCCCATTATGCATACTTGCAGCCAGCGGACAGTATCTGAGAGTATTTATGTTCATATCACATGTATCCACATGACCAAAATGTGACTTTCTCCTTCTAGCTATTTTCATATATAAGATAAGAATGTGAAACTGAAAATAAGTGAGTATAGAGGCTGGTAGTCAGGTAAGTACTGTAGTATTTTACTCAGTTTGCATGTTATGCGTCACACTGCTGATTTATATGATTTTTTCTTTTCACATGTCACACAGATTTGAGCAAAAAGATGTCCCATAGGGCTGATTTTTGACATTTCTGGGTGCCTCAAATAATTCAAATTGAAATTTTTATACTGAATGTCATGTTAGAGATGGTGTTCGAGTATTATATTAAGCAGATGTCATGTGAATGTATGCACATGTTTGGCACTGGCATTGGCAATTCAATTGCTCCACATTCCCATTCTTGGCATCACTGCTGTTAAAGCCCCAAATGGGTAACAAAAGCTGTAAAATGTGACTAATCCTAATTGGAATATAAAGCTGTATATGATATCTTGCACCCAGCACCATAAAAACATAGTATCTAGGGTTTGTCAGGGGTACCTCCCTTTCGGCCCCTTGGAGACAACTCCAATTTCGGTCCAATTCCAATGGCATTTCCGGTCCGGCCCTCCATCTTGTGCGCACAATCACTGATCTGTCAACGCCCTCCCAACGTCGTCCTGTGTGAAAATTTGGCGCTCACGTGGCCGCTGGCCGGCCCCGAAACGCCGATGACGTGTTCTGATACCCAAAATAGCCATGTTGTTGCCATATTGAACGGCGGAACATCGGAAAGGTAGGTGCAAACTCGTTCGCCAACCCCCCCAAGCCTATACAAAATACAAATTCAACTTATAAAAGTTTTTTTTCACCAGGGTCGGGACCCCCCTCCCCATGTTCGTGATAAGGATCTTGGGACCCCCTTGGTATAGAGGAGGGAAAGAAGCATGGCAGATGATATGCAGCTGTCAATAAGAAAAGCTGGGATAATAGGTGAAAGGCTTTGCTGTAATATATATGTACCAGAGCAAGAGTGTGTGCATGAGCATGTGTATTTCCTATAGGATGCTGTTGTGGTAGAATGAATGGTAAATATTACACATCAATATAGCAGCAAAGGCTAGCCTCAGTCATTGCCAGCCAATTCAGGATTGTGAAATGATGTTCGATGTAAGACTCTAGCCACCAACCTAATTAGGAATAATAATTGATGTAATGTTCCTTCTTACCTTCAAGTTCTCCTCTCATGATCCAGTTATTTTTGACTGGTGCTTGTGTTAGGGTTCAATCAGACCATATATGTAGTCAGTGTTTAGATATTTATCAGGGGAAATATCTCCATCTCTGGTCCAACTCTGCTTCTCCCTCTACCAACTTCATCAGGCACATTGCTGCTGCCACCCAGATTTTTCTATGTAAAATCAAGTAAAATATGAAAGTATCTCGGGGTATTCAAAAATAGCCTTGGGGATGGATTAAATTACCTAAAAACATTGGAACCAAAACCTAGATGTAATTTATTATGATGAAACATATTATATATTCTGGAACACCAAGCTTATATGATAGATCATTGTGCATTTGTCATAATAATATTTACGATAATTGGCTACCACTACACACACCGGGGATTTGCTTAAAAACAGGGGCGCAAAGCAGGACTTTTTTTTTGTGGAAAAAGTGGTATTTAACGTAGTCACAGTGACTCCAGAAGGAAATTTTTGTTGATACACTGTTGGAGTTGGTTTGAGTTCATTGCTTATGGGTTGTATCAAGTGATAGGCATGACAAATTTCCAAAGCAGAGAAATTTTGTGACCTTTCATGAGTAGAGAAAGATGACCGGTTTTTGAGACTGAAAGAAACTATTTTTGGTTTCTGTTTCCATCCAAATGAAATATATGATTTCTGTAAATATACTACAAAACATGGGTTTATTTATATAGGTCATTTTTCATCCCTGTGTGGTGTGAAGACTCAGACAGGAAAGTTTTGTATTTATGGAGTGCTACTCATCCCGCTGCCACGAGGTTTTGCATCTATTTTAACAGAAGAACTGAAGTGAAATCTAGGCAAGAAGCAGTTTGTTGCCGCACTGGCATGCACGCGGAAGGATGCGGCATAACCACATCGCAACTGGACCGAGGTATACTTTCGTTACTAGTATACGGCTTGGTTCTGCGGCCAGTAAATTTGGCCCAGTGCTCCACTGATTCCGATAACGAAGCTTGAGGAGTGACAAGAGTAGTGGGACTGGGACTCGTCAAATGGGACTGAGTCCCACGTTGATGGCCCCAGTCCCACTTTGATGGCGCGAGTCCCACTGCCACGGCGCCAAGGACGCATAGCCGAGCGCTAGAAAAGCAATCAGCATCATATATCAATCAAAAAAAACATGAAAGAAGCGCCGCGCAGCGGGCCTCCGTGGCGAGCGGCAGCCCGCGGCAGCGTGGGGTCCGGGGTCCGGGGTGGAAAACCCCGGCCGCCGCGGCCGGCGCCGCCACCCTATCAAACTTCAGCGGAAAGAGCAAGAAAAAAAGGATGAGACACCCCGGAAAGATCCCCCACGCTCCGCGCAGCGGGCCCCGCGGCGAGCGGATGCTCCCGGCAGGGTGGGTCCAGGGCGACGCCCTGGTCGGGGTCCGGGGTGGAAAACCCCGGCCGTCGCGGCCGGCGCCGCAACCCAGTTGATGCGAGACGCGTCGATCGATCAACGTGGGTGATGTGTCGTAACTGAGTCCCACTCCGGGACTTCGGGAATGGGACTGGGAGGGGGAAAAGTGGGACTCGAGTCCCATTGTCCCAGTCCCAGTCCCATTAGGTCCCATTGTCCCAGTCCCAGTCCCATTACTCTTGTATATACTCACGAAGCTTCTCCGAGTCGGCGGCTGATTTCCTCCGGAGGCCCATAAAGCACCTGTGAGCAAGTGGGCTCAGGCTGGTCAACACTCCCATGACCGCGCTCACGTTCTCCAGCAAGCACCTCATCGACGGCACGCTTGTCGACGCAGGCGGGGCGGTGTGCTATACGCTGAGCACGACGGAGGGTATGCTCCGCGGACGGAAGCACACTACGGTCCAAGCGCGCGGCGGACTAGTGGGCGCGATCGACTGGCGGAAGAAGACACTTGCGATCGACGGCACCGAGAAAGGGTGGGCGGACGTGCGGTCGAGCGGGGCAGGTGAACGCCGCCTCGGCTGTCGTCGGTGCTGACGTCACTGTTCGAATGCAGCACAAGTGGCACTGGGCGGGGAAGACCTACACCATCGAGGTCCACCGCAAGCAGGAGATCCAAGCGGTTTGCGAGGACGCGGCGGCGCCGACCGGGACCGTGCGCTTCCTGGCATATGAGGGGCATCTGTTGGAAGAAAGCGACAAGGCGACGGTCGAGTTCCCTGCGCGGATGAAGGACGAGGGCGAGCGGATGTTCTTGCTGATAGCGGTTCTGCTTACGGAGATGGAGCGGCAGGAGGTGAGTGTAACATAAGCTACATCGAAGAAGTGGACTGACCTTGGAGCTCGACACTTTAGTCAGAGAAGGGGCAGCAGGCGATCCAGCTTTCGATGTATGTTGCCAACGCGGGGACTGCAGCATCATGAGCAGCAGAACTTTCGGAGGAGGCTGGACCTAGTGGGCTATGTTATTAAAGGACGGCTTCATACATGTCAAGTTGTGCTTACGAACGTGCGTTCTCGGTTTCCATTCTTGGTACACCCGTCTCGGCCCTCGATATTATCATACGCTCAGCAACATCCGGATGATCGTCGGTAGGCATTCGGATCCTTATATTCCTTGGCGTGGCCCTCCTCCGACATTAATTGACCTGCGGCCAGCCTCGATGTTCTTGCCGTTCAGCGACGAAGGCCTCGTCGACGGCTTCCTCGCGACGCCGGACGGAACCGTACAGTACACCCTCAGCACGACGAAATCGGGCTTCTTGAAACAGCCCAAGGTTACGCGCATCACGGCGGCGAGTGGAGTCGACGGGAGGATCGACTGGGGGGAGAAAACGATGGCGATCAACGGTGCCGAAAGCGAGGTGAGGACGCTGCGGGCGGCGCGGAAGCTGTCGCAAATGTTCTCGTCGAGGGTGCGCATGCGCAACTTTTTGAAAAATCGTGACATGGCCTGACGAAAAGTGTAAAGGACAAATAGACCTGGAAAGAGAAGACCTACGCGGTGAGGCAGGGCAATAGAGAGATCGACGTCGAGGTACAGCTCCAGTTTCCTCTGGCTGGAGATCCGCACTAATCCCATAGCTCGACGGTGGGGCCGTTTCCGACCCAACCCATCCCGGTTGGCCGCCAAAGGAGTACACGTCCCGCGCGCGCTTCACGATGTGGGTGGCGGGATTCTTTAGCAAGATACGACCGGCAACGATGGAGTTCCCGCCCGAGATGGCCGACGAGGCGGAGCGGATGTTCGTGCTGATGGTGGTGCTGCACACCGAGATGGACCGGCGGAATGTGCGTCGGCGTCGCGACTGCGGGGAGCGGGGGAGCTGACTTGTTCTAGCGTGAGTAGCAACTGGAATGGCGCAGGCAGCCAGAGGTACAGCCGGAGGACTCGGAGAGGGAGTCGAAAGTCGAAGTATGTGATTTGCGGTAAAGACATCCGAGCGTGACAGCAGCAGCGAAAATTTTCTTCTCTTCCCGTCATGTCGTAACTCGGCTGCCGCCCCTCGTCGCTCAACACGGTCTCCCCTCCCGGAGCCCGCGCAAGCCACTATTATAGTGTCCCCGTAGCTGCTCCGAGTCAGGCGTGGAAGTGAGGAAGTTGTTGGTGGAGATGAGCCGGGGTCGAGGGCCAGAATGAGACGATTGCTATCCACGCCTACAACGGTGCGTGTCGCTGGAGCGGCAGTGTTCCGTCTGTTCTTCTGAAGTCTTACTTACAGGTTGGCTCGACGCATGCGCGCAGTATGCCCATTACACATTGTTTCGACGTATACTCTTGTGGCTCCGCACCCGACTTCACTACCGACTGCGGGGAGGCTGGCCTCCCAGGGACTTCCAGGGTGAGTCCTGACATCTCTTTCTCTATAAACTATCCACTTTCGCAATGCCATCCCCTCCATCACGTTCTCTTGCCTGGACACTCCCTGCTTCCTCCTTTTTCGTCTCGCATTCTCGTTCTCCCTTCATTGCAGAGCTAACTCATAACAGCACCCGAAGAACACACCGTGCCCTAATGGGTCGTCGCGCCAGTGTGGATCTGCGCTGACTCCTCATCGGCGGGCGATTCGCGGAGCGAGCGAACCTGACAGACAACCCCGAGGACGGCACGCATCTCCACACGCACCAAGATCCAATACACTACCGGGGAAATGACTCGGATGCAGTTGGAACCTGGAAGTTTCAAGTGGGTATGCAATTCGTGTATGAATGGGAGTGAATGATTACTGAATGTGCTGGTGGTACAAATGCAAGATGAGGTGGACGAAACTGAATGTCAAAAAAGGATGAAGGCGTGTCCAACTCGAGGTCACGAACCCGCCGAACGGGGCCGTGGTTTTTTCCGCGCCTTCTCGCACGCGGCCTCCCACTCGTGCAATGCCTGGACAAATCCTGCGTTCGGGCGGATACAGCTCCGCTTCCGCTTCACAAACGCGTACGCCTCGTCGTAGTCCATACTACGCTCGCGGATGAGGAAGGCGATGACGACAGCCGCGCTGCGGGAGACACCCTGCCTTTACTCAGCCGAGACGCCCGACGCCCCACAGTGCTGGCAACGCACCTGATGGCAGTGCACAAGCACATTCTCGCCCCTCCCTAGCGCGTCCTTGATGTAGTCGCAGGCCGGCGCGAGGTAGCCGCCGAGGCGCAGCCCCGCGGCGGTGCTGTCTTCGATGTCGATGCGGTGGTAGGCAAGTTTGAGCTGATCATGGCCCTCGCCGGACTCGGGCTGAGGCGCCCAGGGCGTCTCAAGCACCTGGACCAGGTGCGTTATGTCATGCTCCCGCAAGAGCTCCAGCTCAAACACGGCCGCCATAGAGCCAAGGTAGAGCGCACCTGTCCCCGCGGCGGCCGCCGACCGAGAGTCCTCAGGGGCCAAATGGCTGTCTGAGCGGGTGGAGTCGCCATGGAGTGCGTTTTGTCGGGAAGTGTGTCGGGAAGAGCCCGAGGCCGGGAGGATACAGTGCATCGGCGTGCACATCGCCTCCATCTCGTCCTTCGGGAGGTTTTCGAACGAGAGCAGCATCGTGGTGGAGGGAGGGAAGAGGCAGGGAACACCGACTCTGACTCCTCGAAGCTGTCCGAAACGCTGCGTCATCGTTGTGTCGTTGGCCCCACACTTAATATTGATTGATGTCGGATCGGACATGATCGGACTTCACAAGTCACTGAAGGAGGTTTTCAGGAATAGAACACAATATGAGACCGTTACTTGGTGCAACTGCTTGGCTGAAAGCAGGTTTCTTTGTTTCTTTGTTTCTTTGTTTGTTTGTAGGGTAACCTAGGTCAATATTGTGTCAAAACTCAAATAAGTACAACATCAAGTGTTGTACTCAAAAGTTTCAACCCATGGCATGCTCACTACTGTGGCTAAGTGCTCACTGCCAGGAATCGAGTGACGAGCAGACAGAGCAGCTTCCCCAGGACTGTTCTTGCTATCAGGTTTCAAGGGGCCTGCGGATCAGCAAGCCAAGACATCGAGTCACGCATGTGACATAGGGTAGGGGGGGTCCCTAAGTAAAAATTTCACTTTTTGGACTTGTGTCTAGGGAAGATCCAGGGAGGGGCCAGGGATGTCCAGGAGGACTATAACTGCATTTTATCTGTTTGTAGCACTTGGAACCAATGAATACAACACATTTGATGGCCAATTTCCCAATTGGGAGTGTATGATGATGAGTGTGATGCCAAAGAATGATATGTAAGCATGTCATCACCTCTTCTTTATCATCTCTGCTGTCTGGGTCTTTTGGATGTGCTGAGCACAAATTGGTTCTCCCTTGGGGCATAGTTGCAAGAAAATTTGTAGAAATGTGTCCCAATTTAACTGCATTTTGTCATGACAAATAATTTCCTTTCTGGGAAGTCATGTGTCTTAGTCATGCTTAGTCAATAGGGTAGGGAGGGTCTGCTGGTACTTTTTTCACTTTTTTGACCCAATGTCTAGGATTTTTCTTGTGCAGGCCCCTTGTCAGGTTTTCATCTCCATAATTTAAGTCCTTTACAAAAAACTTCACTATGTCAAAGCTACTTATCCACCGCTGCTGATATGATCAAATAACCATCAAAATTTGCCACTAATGTGAATAATTTTTGGATGGTATATTTTGTAGGCTAATGTACGACACCATGGATGTTCAAGTAGAGGTTTCAGCCACAACCTCTCCTAAAATGGCAAGATTCGTTTGTCTTGATGATCTCGGCTGAGGTATTGATATTGATAACATCAAAAAAACTTCTAAAAATGAGGAACGACCATATTTTGGGAGGGTTTGGATGATTACAGCCTCTATATTATATACTCTACCATTTTAATTCATTAAGTTCCTGTAGTTATGAGTGTTGGCCTATTGTGATATTATTATGCCAGATGTGTAATGATAATATTATGATGTCATAATAAATATGGTCCTCAGGAGCATAATGTATCCATAATATGATAGAATAATAATAATGTGAACATTATCTGATAATTTTCCTATTATAATATATGATTCTGCTTCAAACAGCTTTTTCACATTTTAAACTGTAGTATGTGATTTAGTACCAATATTATGTAATACTCTAGAATGATAGCTCATGCATGATCATCTAAATCCTGCTGTTACATTATTGGAATTTGTAACCACATCACAATGTTAAGGGGAACCTCCACCTTTGCCTCCTTCAGACCATCCAAACACGTCCAAAGCACATCCACCGACCTATCAAGACCCTCCTGATGGTCGCTTTGGGAGCAACACCACCCAGGCCTTCTGTGCCTGACAGTGGCAGTTACAAATAACCAGTGTATAGTTGGCACCCTAGCAGATGGACTCTTGAAGTCTTCTCTTTGGATCCTCCCCTGCTAGGACTCTTGTCGGAGCCTCCAGGATTGCACCATTACAAATGGTGTAGTGAGATTTGTTTAAGCTGAAGATGCTCAGAGTAGTTGGTAGTTAGATGTGTAAGTCATCAGCTGATAGTATTGTCACCAATGGGCAACTTAGCCTAATCTAGATGAGTAAAAAAAAAGACGATTCACAGTCTTGATTATATTGACTGAAAAAGACTTATCATTAAAAACTACCTTAAGTCATTCTGTACATATCTATCAAATTTGTCAGTCATAGTCATATCAGGTTTTGTGGCTGAGATATTTCAGCAGGTCACAAATTACAGCCAATTTTTTTAGTCCCAAATGATCCCAATTTGAAAGATTTTCCAAAATTTCTCCTCCTGCATCATGCCAAATTTCCTACTTGGGTAATAGGCCATACACTGTTCAGCCAAATGGTTATGGGTCCGTTGAATTGGATGAAAGAGGCCAGTATCATATTTTTACTATGTGTCAATAATATAGATTTGCTATTCCAAGCCTGAACCTCTGATAAATACTATCCTAATGGTTAACCCTTAGGATAAAAATGAATGGGCATTGACAGTAAGTTAATAATGAAAAATGCAAGTGGAAGGGAGTGAGAAGACAGTATATATATTGGTAGGTAAAGATCCTAAGTACAAATGAAATACAAGAATAGCTAAATTTAGCAACAGAAAGGCAATATATAATCAAGTACAAATGGTAAGTAAGAGACAAATGGAATTGCTAACGACATGTCCACCTGATATGCAAGATGTGTTGTTATGTGCTTGAGGTTTGTCCTTCCAACAGTTAAGGTCCTTGACTATCTCACTGTAAGGGCAACCCTGGAGACTCCGACGAAAGCCTAGCAGGGGAGGATCCAAAGCGTGAATAAAAGCTACGGGAAATACACGGAGGGACCGACCTAGCAGGGGAGGATCCAAAGAGAAGAAACTCTAAGGGTCCGCCTGCTAGGGCGCCAACTATATACTGGTCGTCCGTAACTGCCGACATAGAGCGCAGAAGGCCTGAGCGGCGTCGCAGGCTCTGTCCCAAGGTGATCGTTGGGAGGGTCTTGACGGATCGGTGATTGTGCGGGCGAAGGAGGCCGTGGACGATGGTCGGGGTGGGTCGGAGCGTCCGAGGGGGCGCCGGTCGGATGCGCCTCGGATGCGTTCGGAGGGTCCGAAGGAGGCCGAAGCGGGGGTTCCCCTGACACTCACTCATTATTATATGAAAGATAATGAAGCTATATATTACTCATTTTCATGAGCTGACACTATGAGTCAAATCTGGATATCTACTATTATTTTTTCAGTATCTCATCTAGCATGCCAAATGTTCAGCGATGTACAGCCACCATAGCGGATTGTATTATTAAAAGGTCTCGGCGTCCAGCGCAAAGTTGCGGAGGCGTGGAATCAGCGGCACAGGAGGCGACAGCACAAAGGGCAGGGATGACGGCAGTCGTTTGGTGGATATTGGGGTCTGGAGGAGCTGGAACCCAATAAGGCGTCAAGATGAGGGAGGCAGGAGGAGATTCTTTCGCATGTAGCGGCGGCGGGTGACTCGAAGCATGACACTGTCAGGTAGAAGTGAGGTCGGGTGAGTTCAATGGCGCTCCGATTCCTATCCCTTCTTAGGGACCGAGTTTGTCACGGTCGCGGCAAACCGCTGAAGAGGCGCTGGCAAGGTACTGCTCTAAAGGCTAGTACGATGAATATCAAGAGCGACTACGATGCGCTGGCTTGTGTCAGCTGTCGAATACGAGTAAGTGCAACCGTGCTCACCTTTCCAGCCATCCTCCGCCGCTCTGTTTGCCCACTTCAAAAGGAGACTGAATGGATGTGCAGGGAATTGTGTTGGCATGTTGGGCTAGTTGCAAAACAAAAGTTCAGAAACAGAGAGAGTGGGGGTAATGCCACGCACCTGTAAGTACCAGTCCCCTTCATCTGCATCCGACTGCCCCATTTTTCCTTCATCAACCACCAACACACTCACTCCAAACCAACTAGCAGAGTCCCATGCCGAGTTCCTGGGCCACCTCGATGAGGCGGACACTGTATCGAGCGGCATGGCGTTGCGGGCGACATGAGCAGAGAAGAGAAGAAAAATTTCTGCTGTTACACAGTCACTACACATCTTGTCTTCAGCCCTTCCCTAACAACTACCAATGAGCCAGCTCCACCGACGCAGCACCTGGTATATTCACCCAAATCCTCTACAAGTCCCGTACAGGCTCTACAGTTGGAGGCCTCGAGTCAGAGCGACTCAAATGCTGAAGCCTATTTAAATTTCACTCAGTGAGCAAATTCCCTAAAAATATTTGGTACACACTCAAATGTCAATTATCATAGTAAATAACCTCATAGATGACTTGTTCATTCTTCCAAGAATTATGGAAGGAAAAATAGTAGACATTACCCACAATTAGCGAAATTACTACTAAGGGAGGTTTTCCTGGTGAATATTTTTATGGTTTTCTGCATGCTATATAAGTAGTGCTACACACTGGGCTGTTTTAGACATTCCCCCCTTGGGAAAGTTATAGGATAAAGGCAAAAGTAAATCCCATATTTATCTATCTATTTTTTGTGTAAAAAAACTACTATATAAATGGTAGCTTTTTGACACAAAGAAAATCTATGGACAAAGCTGTCCTTTTTCCAGCAGAAAAACTGAAAGTAAAACTGTCTGATAAATGCCACATTTATTCACGAATTTGAGCTGTGATTTTTACAAAGGAAAAAAACAGATATAAATCTTAGATATATCTGAGCATTAATCTGCAGGAAAAACCTGAGATTTTTCTGACAGATAAAGCAACAGATAAACTTGTCTTTGTCATACAAAAAAACTACAGATAAATTAGAAATTTATCCTTCCATTTATCCTCTAACTTTCCCAGCGGGTAAATTCCGTAATCAGCCCAGTGACAGTATGTGTCAGGCTGTATACAAAGTGCTACATTTGTGCGACGAATTTGACTGAGATACTACATTGATGTTTGAATCCCCCCCTTAGCTACAGTGCCACAGTGGGTTTTGCTTTTTTCCCTGATACTGCATCATGATAGCAAAGTGGTGATTAATGCTGGCGCCAGAGATAAACCAAATGCGGCCCGTGACCCAAATTGGACACAACACGCGACAATAATAAGTAGGAGCATACGCATAACATATATATTCATGCGGCGAATAACAATAGGGCTACACAGTCGATAGGTAAGATGTACTAAAAATACACATATTGAGTGAGTTAGTAAGGTAGGAGAAGCGGCAGACGGGGGACTTTGGATACACGAGAGAGGCAAATACTAGAAATACACGAGGATGCAAATGATGCGATTTTTTTTGTGCTGGGTGTTTTTTTTCGATGGTTGAAGCCGAAAGTGGGATGATATAAAATAATGCGATCCGCGCAGAACTTGAACTAGAGCAGCGACCAGGGCAGCGGCAAGTCGAGCCCGCTGCCGAAGTGGGTGTCCAGAGGCATCGACATGTCCAGGTCAAGGAGGGACAGCGCGGGCGATTGGGGCAGGCCGACGGCCGGATACCGGAAGCGATACGTCGCGGTGAACAGCACGGACGCGGCGCTGTCGTCCTTGACGATCTCCTGGAAGATCGTGAAGCGCGTCGGGTCGGGGCTCTGCACGATCACGTTCCAGTAGCGCGGCACGATCCGCGCGCCGTAGCGGTACACTGGCGCGAACAGCACGTCCGAAGTTGTGTCGGAGATGAGCTCGAGCGGGACGGTCTCAGCGTGGAGCGCGAGGCCGGCGGACTCGGAGAGGACCGTGAAGCGGGAGTGCGCGGAGAGCGGCGCGGCGGAGGTGAAGGCGCTGAGGGAGTCTATGCTGGCGATGGGGCGGGGATGGAGCGAGGCTTGGAAGGAGTTTTCGGTGGGCTCGGGGAGTGCGTAGGAGGGAGAATGCGATAGGATGTCGTAATGGGGAGCGGGAAGGACGTCGATAAATATCGTCGTATGGGGCACAGAACTGGACGGCGGCTCGAAGAAGGACAGCGCGCTGGGGGTAGGTGAGCCCGACAGGCTGGGAGTCGAGGAAGATGGGGCGTCTTGGGCAGTCTTGAACGGGGAAAGAAGATGAAGCACTATCCACAACAATGAGCTCCGTGGATAAGCGATAGTATCGAGGCACTCACATTTCTCCCCGCCTCCGGCCCGGGACTCCCGGAGCTGCTGCAGCCGGCTGCCGACTTGCTTGGGCGTCCGGTGCTTGCCCGTCTTGGCCAGGATGTACTGCGATATGAACCGATTGCGGCGCGGAAAGCGCCCGAGTAGCCGCGTCTCGCGGGTGTCCTCGGGTACATATCGCTCCAGACCTCGCATTAGCGTCAGCCCTAGTTCAAGGTTTAGTTTAATCAACCAACCTTCGAGTAAGGCAGCTTCGAGCTCGACCGGCCAGACCGTCTCGCCGCCGTCCGCCGTTTTCCATGTGCGACGAACAGTAAGGACGGAGCGGAGAACGTCGCCCGTCTCGGCCTTCTGCAGGGCTGACCACGCCTCCTGCTCGTTGTCGACCTTGAGCTGGGGCGATGTTTGAGGCGATGGCGACCGCGAAGGGCATGACGACAACGCCGACGACGACGCGCTCGAGCTCGAGCCTGGCGGCGACAGGGAGGCGCACACGGAGGCGGGCGAGCCGGAGGCGGATGCGGCGTCAGATCGCGGCGATGAAGGGGCTCGGGAGCGGCGCGCCATCTTCGTGCCCGTTTTTCGAGAGGGATAAGGTGAAAAGGGGGGAGTCGAGAGAGGCGATAGCCTGCCGCAGCCTTATATGCCGGCTGCCGATTCGCATCTGCGTGTCAAAAAAACCTTCGGGAAGTTCTATTTTGGCGTCAGCCAGGGCCAACCACGGTCGGCGCCAGAACGGAGGCGACATCGCATGCAGCACAACAATTAACCTCTGCATTCGCCATCAGCATTAACGCCCAAGGACGTCAGGATTGCCATTACCTACTCATTTCCCGCCCTTCCTGCCGCTGTCGTGCGACGTTAAGGGACCCGCTTTCGCCCTTGGCCCCGGTCGTTTCGTCTTTCCTTTGTGCACCCGGACCCAGCGTGGGCACGCAGCTGTCGATGGCCCCCCAAAGGAGGCCTAGAAGCGGGGGAACTGTGGCGTTTGGCTTGCGTTCGTGCGACAGGCGACAGGCGTCACCGCAGGACGAGCAACGCCGGATTCCCTTTGGAGAAACATCGCTGACGTGGCGAAGTGCTGGGATCACGCGTGTTCCGGCGGTGACAGCGCTTCGCAGCGATCCGGGCTGCCGGCTGCCGGCATTTCATTAACGGGAATGCGCGATTCCCAGGCGCGGCGAAGCAGTCACCGTCTTGAAGTCCAGTCCCTCTCTTTGCGGCGGCGCAGGTGCGTTGTAAACCGAGAGGGCGCAGGGTAGCGCTATCGGCGAGCGAGAGGCTGCCCAGTGCATCGATATCTGCGAAGGCCTCAGTCCTGCCTGCCAGACGCAGACTTTTCAGACTCCGTCGTGACTGTGGGAAGCGCCTAGGCGAGCTGTCAGTGGAGCCCTTGGGAAAGTAATTTCGCTGCCGACCTTGGGATCACCAGTGGTCCGCCGGCGCAGCGCACCGCCGAGCGCTTCCATGCGCCTTTATCAAAATGACTTCGCAGCAAAGCGATCGCAAGACGAGTCAAAGTGCGAAAATTGCGTCGGAGACAATACAAAACGGACGACTCATGAGTTTTTGACTTCTCTGCGCCTTTATCAATACGTGAGCAATACTGTACGCCGAGCAACAATTTACAATTTACATTGCACCGGGCCGCCGAGAAAAACGCCATTTATGAGGGTCTTTATCATTAAGCTGGGTCTCGACTCAGACTGTAAAACTAGGGTGGAACCCTGTACGTGCCGTAGCTATGCCCATAGTCTACAAGGATGGTTAGTACATGAGTTTCGCCAGGGGCAGCAGGCAACGGACTGGACTCGATAGAATCAGATAAGTATAACGGTTGGCGGGACAAAACGCAAACAAAACGCGGGTCGTACCTCCGACTATCCCTTCAAAATGACATTGACGACTGCTGCTTGAACGCTCAGCGTTGGCCCGGTGCCGCGCTATGACACAGTTCTGAGGAGCGTCGTATGCTGTCCTAAGTGAGCCAACCGGGCCAAGAAAGAGAGAAAGACCAGTTGACGCACCAGACCGCCCCAAAAGTACTCTCCGTCCAGCTCCCCAGCCTCCCACCGGGACGTTGGCCGCGGCTGCGGGCCATCTATGTGCCTTCAAGAGATGTACGGAGTGGCACTCAACGCCTGTGAACTGTAGACGCGTCAGGACCTCAGGAAGAGATCTGGTGTGCATACGCCAAACACCTCCAGCCCAGCAGCTGAGCAGTGGCGCACCAGTGTAATCCACCAGGCGGCGGCGTCCAGGCTGCCCTGCTGTGGCGTTTTAAGACCCAGAATCCTAAACTGCCATGCACGAGCAACGAGTCGGCGGCGGCGGCGGAGGTCGTCAGGGCGGAAGAAAAGAAGATCTACGGGACTGCCAAGATGTGACTCGATGTGACTGATCGAGATGTGACTGATCGGTACCGGGCCATTTTTCTTTTCTTTTCTTGGCTTTTTTTTTGGAGCGTTTGGAGTAATGAACTTCAGTCTTGGCAATTTTTATTCCCTCCTCCTCCTCCGATGTACACATATAGTCTACCTTCCTGATTACGGCAGATCAATATTGTGACCGGCTGCCGTCTAAGCATGTCCAGACCGCAAAGAGCAACAAAGAAGAGCTCCCCATTCTTAATTTCTTATTTTCCTGCTAGTGTAAGGGCAACCCCGGAGGCCTGAGATCAAGGTCCTAGCAGGGGAGGATCCAAAGAGTGAATAGAAGTAAGCAAATACAAGTGAGGCTGACCTAGCAGGGGAGGATCCAAAGAGAAGAAACTCTAAGGGTCCGCCTGCTAGGTAGCGGAACTATATACTGCGCTCTTGACGCGCCAAGGTTGATCGTTGCTCCGTGCAGTATGCCTGCGCCATGTCGCAGGCCAGGTCCCAGGGGGATCGCCAGGCGGGGCGGCGATGCGCCTGACAGAGGCGGTGATGCGATCACCGGAGTCGGAGCCGGAGTCTGACCGGAATCGGAATCGTCTCCGAGGGGCCGAAAGGGAGGTTCCTCTGACATCACCCCCCCCTTTGAATGCGGCGTCCCGACGCATAGACCGGAATGGAATCGAGTCGAAGGTTGCAGAGGCGATGTGCCGTGGTTTGCCAGGGTACTTACGATAGAACTCCGCGATTTTCTCCGGGCGAAGACGCGGTCGAAGCGGACCCACTGGTCATGCGACGCGTCGTAGCCTTTCCATCTGACGGTAATTCAGCCGTTTATACCTCACCCTTGCGTCCAGGATTTCCTCTACTTCCCACTCCGGGACTCCGTCCTCGAGGTCCGGAGGGGGCTGGTCGTAGCCGGGGGTCCGTCGAAGGGGTCGTCTTGGGCGAGCTCGAGCTTGACGACGGGGAAGACCGGGTGGAGCTTCGAGTAGCGCGGAGGGAGGTCGAGCTTGTAGGCACCTTTGCTGATCTCCTGACTATCTTGAATGGTCCGAGGCGGCGGTGGGAGAACTTCTCCGAGGGGCGAGTCGTCCTGATGTCAGAGGCATCCAGCCAAACACGGTCGCCAACCTTAAACTCCGGAGACGGAGTGCGTCTCCGGTCGTAGTAGCGCTTGTACTCCTCTTTGGCCTTAGTGAGCGCGTCCTTGGCTTCGGCAACACCAGTGGCAATCCGGTCGCGGAACTCGTTCACGGACTCCATAGCGGAACGGACTCCGGGTTCAAGCCCATGCGCGGGAGTCGTCCCGTGTCCGTCATGAAGGGGACTTGTTGCGTGGAGGAGTGAACGTGGTTGTTGTAGGCGAACTCCGCGGCCGGAATCAGCTCATCCCAGTCGTCCTGCTGATAGTTGGTAAAGATCCGCAGGTACTGCTCCAGCTCCTGGTTGACGCGCTCTGTTTGACCGTCTGTCTGTGGGTGGTACGCGGTGGACGTGGCAGGCTTGATGCCGATTAGACGCCAGAGTTCTCGGGTGAAGTCCGCGATGAACTGCGAGCCGCGGTCGGAGACGTACTTCTCCGGAGTCCCGTGATGGCGCCAGACATTCCGGTAGTAGAGGCGAGCCGCCCCTACTGCGTCGACCGTGGTGTGACACTCCGAGAAGTGGGCACGCTTCCCAAGGGTGTCGACGACGACCATGATCGCGTCGTACCCATGGGCCTCCGGAAGCTCGACGATGAAGTCGACGGAGACGGTATGCCAACGCTCTGGGGGCGTTTCCGTCGGGTGCAGCTCTCCGTGGGGCAGTCTCCGGAGTGCTTTGGTGCGACAGCACAAGTCACAGGTCGCGACGTACCGGCCAATATGGCGAGACATTTGAGGCCACCAGTAGTTCCGGGAGACCAACTCCAAGGTCTTGAAGCGACCCGCGTGTCCGGCAACTCGAGTGTCGTGGCAGAGCTCGATGATGCGTCTCCGGAGGTCCTTATCCTTAGGTACGACAATCTTCCCACGAAAGTGAAGAAGACCACCGGAGACAGCCCACTCGTCGGAGCGCGAGGAGCGGGGCCTCGAGCTTGACCTTGGACCTTTAGGAGTTGCCGGGCCGCTAGTGCGACGGGCTCCTCCAGGTCAGGCTCACCGGAGAGGGCATCGCGGATGTCGCGAAGGAGTTCAGAACCAGGGCCGGAAACGGAAACGCCTTCGAGAGCGGGACATGGAAGAGTTCGGGCCGCAGAAGGACGACGTCGGAGTTGTCGGAATCGATTCCGTGGTCTGGTCTCCGAGAGAGGGCGTCAGGTCGGCCCATGTCGCGGCCGGGCTTGTGGTGCAGCGTGAAGTCGAACCGGGAGAGGTAGAGGGACCAGCGGGCCTGTCTCCGGTTGAGGTGCTGCGTCTTCCTGAAGTACTCCAGATTCTTATGGTCAGTCCAAATCTCGACGGGATGCGGGCGCCCCCGAGGAAGTGTCTATACTCCTCGAGTGCGCGGATGATCGCCAGCATCTCCTTGTCGTGGATTTCGTAGTTGCGCTGGACATCATTTAAGCTTTTGGAATAGAATGCTACAGGGTGCCACTTCCCGTCCGGGGCGGATTGTGAAAGAACCGCCCCGTCGCATAATCAGAGCTGTCCGCCTCAAGTCGGAAAGGCCGTGCGTCGTCCGGAATCGCCAGGACCGGTTCCCGAGGTGACTGCGTCCTTGATCGCTTGGAACGCGGAGGCCTCCGCGTCGCCCCAAGTCCACTGCTGGTCCTTCTTGGTGAGCACGAAGAGAGGGCGCGCGAGGGTCGAGAAGTCCCGAATGAACCTGCGGTAGAAATTAGCGAACCCAAGGAACTGCTGAATGTCCTTCTTGTTTTCCGGAGTCGGCCAAGCGGAGACGCCTGCGACTTTGACGGGGTCCATTTCGACGTGGTTGTGGGAGATGATGACTCCGAGGTACTCGATTGACGATTTTTCAAAGTCGCACTTCTCCGCTCGGAGGTACAACTTGTGCTCTCGGAGTCGCCGCAAGACCTCCTGAACGATCTGCCGGTGTTTCCGGAGGTCGGAATGGGCGATCAGGATGTCGTCAAGGTAGATCATGACGTCTCCGGAGAGGATGAGGTCCTGGAAAATGTCATTCATCATCGTTTGGAACGTCGCGGGAGAGTTTGTCAGGCCGAAATACATCACCAAGGGCTCGAAC